GACATGCAACATGGATGAACAAGGTAGAGGCAGCTCTGCATTCGAAGAGGAATTGTTCCATCTGTCTCAGAGAAAGAGTTTGATTCTTTTCCTAAACATCTTCATTGTAGTCTTTAGTTTTTGAAATTTTTGTACCAAAAGACTTGGTTCGTCCATAGATTACAAAAATATTTAATATCATGTTATTGTTTGCTTTTGGTTCTGAGTGGACTATTCGAAGCTGTCTTTAGTAGCTGGCAGTGTTTACTATAACCGGTAATGAAACTAAATATAATATACGATGGCTTTCAGTTTAAAGCGAGTTTATTCATTATACGATAAGTTTTGGAATGGTGTGTAGGTTTATTAATTTCGAGTTTTGCGTTATTCAGTAACATATAAAAATTATATTTTTAGGGCTTAAAAACGAACCGAACAAAAATATCTACCGTTCACCGCGCGACAACTCTAACAGTATATTGCGATGAATCGGACGAAAGCACACAAGGTACGTCTTTCCGAAAGATCGTTTCCACTGCTGGCATCCTTGCACCCGCCACAGAGCGCTTTAAACTCCAAAGTAGCACTGAGCTGCCGAAGGTATATTTTTTATTTAATCAATATTTTTGTTATGATTGAATTTCAGCGACCAAAAATTTCTAAGATCTTGCCACATGGTTCCCAGAAATGCACTCCACTGGAATTTGTTGCCTCTCCTTCTGTTTGTTTGGCCGTATCGACAACGAACGTTGAAAAACAACAGGATGTGTCTTTGGAATCCCTTGAAACATGCGTTTCAAATCGTGGTAAGTTCGTATAATTGTTGCAGCTGTTCACACCAAAGAATGCCGTCGTTAGTTTATAGCTTCCTGTTGTTGCATGTGGCATTTTGTCGTACATATACATTTTATTTAAGGTTATTCTTTTGAAATCTCATTCTTCATTTGTATAATTTTCTTCAGCGTCCGTTTTCACTTCTCTTCTTTCTCCTGTTCTTAATTTTTCTTCATCTTTTCAATATCTTCCTGTTTTCTTCATCCTTTCATTTTTTCGTGTTTCTCTTCTTCCTAGTTTTTATTTTTTTTCACTTTTTCAGTTTGCCTCCTATTTTCTAGTAGACTCATTTTATCTGTTTCGTTTCCCTATGTTCATCAAAAGCAATATTCACAGGTCAAAAACGTCGATGTCAGTTCATTACGGTGATAAGCTGATATCGCTCATTAACCTCGTAACCCTCTGATATTCTCCAGAAAAGTCTAGCCTTGCTGTCAACAAGATCATACTATCAGTATTTTGACTGAATAAAGCCCGTGAGTTGCGAGCCGAAATTTCGCTGATAGTTTATCAGCCTGATAAATTATCATTTCACGTTGCGACGCATGAACCGTTTTAAGTTTGTAGATGCGATTTCAACGCGTGAACAAGATGCAGATACTCCATGCTTTACTTTGGTAATGCATTGCGGGAAAGCACAACATATGTCGAGATGATGTAAATCAGAAACGTCATTGCCATTGTGTTTTAATGCTGCAGTCCAACTGTTTTGTCGTAGAAGCAAAATTTCAGACTTGCTAAACTTAAGAAGAGTGCAACAAAATATTAAACAAAAATTAATCAGGTTAATGTTAAAAACAGGAAAATAACGTGAAAAATATAAGCACTGATCATTTGTCTGATTTAAAAGCTTAGAGGTAGTCTTGATGAGTTTATATATTTTTCCTGATACAAGGTAAAAGTCCTCTTAATCATGGCTGTTTGCACATCTGGTCCGCTAGAATGGCTGTTTCCTCTTCATTTGATGACGTATTCAGACATTACTTTCGTCAGTTTTTACTTGTTACGTTGGCTGCATTCTCTTCGTCTGCTACACTCTTGTCATTTCCTGCTGCAACTCAAGCAGGTCCTAGTTAATGAGGCCTTGACCGTATAGCGACTCCATCAAGTCTAAGATTTTATCTGGGCTCATTTATCGAAGCCAGTCACCTTTATTCGACGGTCTGTTTTAGAGATCGGGAATATTGACAAAGCCTGGTAGTCATATGTACTCTCTGACCATATATCCCTCTACAAGCCATTTATTAGAGCGATGGTTGTAACTTTTCATGAAAATTATGCTATCGATGTCCTTATTGATACTATAGTCACGTTGAAACTACTACTTCCGATCTGTTAGCCTATCCATGTTGATTTTTTTCCGGTGATCAATTTCCATATGGTCGCTCGAGAATAAGTCTTAAGCATTGTTATCACACATCGTTCCATCGACTATGGCACAAAGGTCGTATTTTCTTGCATGAAAACGCGATCTAGGCTGATGGTCAGGATTTAAATATTGGCATGGCGCTCCATAGCGTTTATAAGTTAAGTTAAACCATGTTGCCTATTTTATCCCTTACAATATTTTTAGAATGTACAGAAAACACAAAGCAATTCTGACGTAAACATTCTATTGCAAAGACTTTCACGCCAAATCACCAAACCATAGGGAAATTTACTTTGGTGTATCCTCTGTGTATTACACCAATAATGTCAAAAACTTGCTATTTCCCTTTTATCACTAAGAGGAGAGATAAAGCAAATCAACTAAGGGACAGGTAATTTGTATTTTTGTTTTACCTCTGTTCATTTCGATTATGGTTTGTTTATTCTTAGTTTGACAAATAGAAAATGTTAGCTTCAGTTCAATAAGTTGAAAATTCAGATCTCAAATATCTTCGAAGGGATGTTTCTTGTCATTTTCTGATATAATCCAACAAACTGCATCTGCATGTTTCGCCCATGAATCGTCATATACTGTTCAGAGGATGGCTTGATCAGAAGATTTAGTTAATCATGCTAATCTCATGAATTAATTAGAACCTTTGCTTGCAAACTTCCAATATAGTTCAGTAATCGTAGTAATTTCGATTTTTGTCCATATGCTGTACCCTGAACGTTGTTCTCTTTCATCTAAGAATTCCTTCATAATATCCGGTCGTATCTGTCGTTTCTTGTCCTTTGCCTTCAGCCTCGTTTAGTTTGCCATCTTTTTGTTCGTTCGTTTTTACTATTTTTGATTCATTATATATTTTTTCTTTCAGCAGATAAATTTTTCCGTTTTGTATTTTTCAGTTCGTCGTTTTTGTTTTTGATTTTCTTCTGTTATTAAGACTGAGTAGATTAAAATTAATGGATGAGTGTGATTTGCTTTTTAATTTACAGATGTCTTCTTGGAACAAGAAAACGATGTCTCCAAATCTTCGTCCATGGATCACATCGAAGAGACCCTCAGGAATTGTGAAATACTTTATTCGGGAAGCAATCGGAACTTTTCCGTGGCGCCGTCGTTACAGGAGGACGAAGGGAAAACGGGGGAACCTGAGAAATATGATCTGACAGCTTGCTTTCCAGAATACGCTGATGATATTTATAAATATTTACGTTCTAGAGAAGTAAGGGCTTTTTTAAATCAGTACTTAAAAGAGAATATACGAAAATACGGAAAAGATAAAGCAAAGTTACAATCGCAGTCCTAGTCAGGTTTTTCATAGACATGCAAAACCAAGTAAAACTGCCTAAAAATGAACTTTCACTGACCTTGCAATAAATCGGCTCGGGAACATGCGCTTTTCTGTATAACGATAGAATGAGTAAATTTCAAACGCCTATTGGTTAGCTGTAAAAGTGGGTACTCTCACATGCTGTTATCATGTTTCTAAGCCTTGACGCTGGTATTCGTTCGGCTGCCTGAAATGCACCTAAATGCGAAGAAGCATGTTTTTCCTGTGTGTGGTTGACTTCATGGAGATTCATTGAGGTTTACTGACCACTGGCGGTATGCCAAATTTCAACCTTGATTGTATCTTTTGAGGAACGATGAACCAGCGACCTCAATGAAATGTTCCTTGCAGGGTTATGCTGAGAAAGGTTTCTTTGAGAGTATTGTAGAGAACAAAGATTGAGCACTTTGTGACATAAGACAGATTTTCTATGGTGTTCAATGTAGGAAACCGTGAAAGACGCTTGATGCGATAATGTTATAAAGATTAGCGAGAACTATTTGTTTTGGCCATGATGTTATTTTAATATCAGATCTAATCATTGTTATTAAATTCCTTAATTGTTTTCGAGCATGAAAACTAT